TTATGCACCAGGTTGCATGTCAATTACTAAGGATCACTAAGTGTAAACAGCTCTTATAGTCAAGGGGTCAGCACATAGTAAATAAGCAAATGTAATAAATAATATTCAACTTATGTGCAGCCAAAAGGTAGCAATTTTCCAAGTCACAGTTAAAAAAGCGCTGATGATTTTATACAGAAAATATATGTATAAGGTACTGAAGCACAGGTTAATGAATGTTCCTGATACCCATACAAACAACAAAGCTGAGGCACCAAGAGGAAAATTCCATGATTTACTAGTCAAGCAGAGAACCTTTGTGGCTCAGGGCAATGTTTCCTCTCATGGCTTCCTTGTTCTTGTGCAGAGTAGGCTCTGGTATCTCTTCCTCTTATGAGGACACTAGTCCAACAGTATTAGAATCTCAACCTACATGACCTCATGGAACCTTAATTCCCTTCCTAAAGACTCTACGTCCAAATAGCCATAAACTTAGGCCTTCCAAATATGAATACTGGCAGGACATAAGTCAGTCCCTAACACTTTGCTATGCTGCAACTCATCTCACATTTACAATTCCTGGTTTCTGCACAGCAACCCTAAATAATTGGTTTCTTTAGATTTTGCAGTTTTCTCCCATGGCATTCATGTTTTCTATTTGTTCATTCTTTGTTTCTCTGGCAAACCTTAAGCTCAACCTCTTTTGTGAAACCTTTTCTGACTTTTCCCCGACAGGATTACTGTGCTCTGTACCATTCCTCAGTGTATCATTATGTCCCACAGGCAGCCTCCAATGCAGCATTATCATGCCCCATGCTCCACCTCAAACAGGATTATCATGTTCCATACTCAACTTCCAAGGAATCAATTCTTATACTCCAACTTCCAATGCATTATCATGTACCATTACCACCATCCAATGCATCATTATCATGTCCTGTATCCAACATCCAATGCAGCATTATCATACCCTGTGCCCAAGTTCCAATGCAGCATTATCATGCTCTGTACCAGTCTCCAATGTAGCATTATCATGCCCTGTACGTACCCTCCCAACCATGCCCAACTTCTAACACATTATTATCATGCCCCACATCCAACTTCCAATGCATTACTATGCCCCACACCCCACACCCAATCTCCAATATCATGCCTGACACCCAAATTTCAATGCACCACTATCATGTTTTATGTTCAACATCCAATGTAGTATCTTCATGCCTGGTACACAATCTCCAATGCAGCATTATCATGTCCTATACCCAGCATCCAAAGCAGCATTATTCTGTTAGACTCTGATGGTAGATCTCAGTAAAGTTCTGTATTTTTTGAACAAATGAGTGACTAAATAATTTTAATCTTTTCCCAAGATCACTAGATGTAGGAATGACTTTTCTGGAAATGTCTTTTGTAAAATGGGTATCTTACCCAAGCTTACAGCCGTTAATTTTCTGTTTTGAGATCATTTCATATTATTTTTGCTTGTTTGTAAACAATCCTACTAGTCTTGAGTTCCTTTTCTAAGATAAACAAATACCTTCCTTACCTCTCATGTAGAATCATGCATATGCATGTATATTGTGAAGACCCTAGTGCTACAAGTAGTGAATACCATGGAAAATAATGAATTATGCTGCTTGTTACAAACAACTGGTGGGATTAGACTGATAACATGTTTGTGGTTGTGTATGCTGTTCTGGGTAAGAACAAATCTTCCCTGATAAGACAACTTCCACTTTTTCCTTTCCCTCTTCAAGCTGGATGTGTTTCAATAAATACAGAGCAAGTCCTTTGCTCATGGAGCAGTTCTGAGAGAACTCAGAATAAACAAGCTTGCAAACAGACCATACTCGCTCTGGTTCTGAGGCCAAAGGGCACAGGCTATCTGTGTTCAGATACAACTGCAATGCGGCATCTCTCCACTGCAACTCAACTATGAAAGTAGTCTTCCATATGATTACATGCAATCAACCTTACCATGCAACTATTTCTATCCCTCTAAACTTTGTATCCAAATTAGTCACAGATTCTTGCCTTGGACTCTCAGGATAAAACTAAATGGAAGAAATAGCTAATAACAAATATTTGTGTTAATTTTATAGTGAAGTCCATATCCTAGTCTGATACACAGGTAAAGATTAATTAGAAAAGGTAGTCATTTTATTTAATATTAAATAGGCAAACTGAAAAGCCCAGGATCCTCTTGTGATGTGCTGTACCAAGAGAACACACACTAACCTATTGCACCAGTTATTCAAACTTTTTATCTTTTGGACTCATGAATTTGACTTTAATCCATAATCTAGGGTAGTCCCCCAAACATGAGGGTATATTTATATCCTCAAAGCCATGCTTAATAATCTTTTCTGTTTACTTATAGCACCCAGTCAAATGGAGCATACTGCTCAGGCAACAGAAAAACTTAGTTGCTGTACTTCTGATGCATGGAAACTGTCTGTGATCCAAATAATGTGTTAATTCACTCATAACAGTATTCTGATGGTTTACCTACATGGACACTTTTTATGGTCTGAAATAGGTGGCCTGATTTAGAATTGACTATGGGCTGTGCAGCCTTGGGAAAACTTACTACCCTATAGTTCACTTTCCTCATCTGTAAACAGATGATAGAAACCATCTTTCACAACACTTGGTATGATAAAATGAGTTAATGTATGTAAAAGTACTTAGCAGTAGTGTCTGGCATTTAGTCTGTACTCACACCATATTTCCCTGTGAAAGTTGTCTTAAAATTCTATGATCTCTTTTAGAAAGAAAACCTTTATGGATAAAGGTTTGTTCAGGGACAAACTAAGTTTTTTTTTTTTATTTAAAAGCTTTGTTATACAGAATGAGTACAGTTAAAACAATGGCAGGCAGATGGGTGAAGAGAGGAAGCTGTGCAGATAACCCAAACTCTGCAGCCCTGTTGTTCTTTCAGAACTGAAAATCTTTTTAACAATGTTACGTCCATCTTTTAATAAGCACACAGATACCTCAAAGTTTTAGGAGTTCAAGTTTTATATATATAATATAATACCTGAGCAGACAAATTTTCCAGAAGTGTAACTGGACATTTTATCCTAGGTGCAGACTTGAGGCCAATAAGCCTCTTTGGTCAGCTGACCATGGAAATCATTCTTGGCCCTGGCTTCAGCTAGCAGTGGCTGGTGAGATATGGGTAACTACTTCTGTAGATGGAACGTTATCTTATTTTTTCATCCCTTTCTGTCACTTTGGGGAAACACTTTTCCGTTTTATTTGGGACAGTCACAAAAACTCAGGAACATTGTACTTCAATCAAAATATCCTAAGAATTCTGCAACTTTCCCAATTGAGATTATGTTCAGGATAAAGAATTGGGACTCAATCCTTATTTCTATGTTCACCCTCACACTGTTTACTAAAATACTACCGCTCTACCTAATCCAGCTAGATCTTACACCCTCTATGGCTACCTGGGCCCTAATCAACACATCTCGTACCTAGTGCAATACTTAACTGGTCTCTTAGCTTCCCTGCTTCCCCTCCCATATCGATCAACATAATAGACACAGGATCCTTTTAAAACTTGATTCACATCAGGCCTGCCTTCTGCAGCTCTTTATTTTATTCATAGTTAAACTCAAGTTCCTTATAGGAATCCCAGATTGTCTTAGGCCTCCTGACAGCTCACCAGCCTTTCACTTACACCCTCCAACTTTCTTTCTTCTGTCTCTGGGCCACACAATAGTGTGGCTACACACTATCTCTTCTGCTCGAATTTCCATCATGGTCTTATCTTTAATGACTGACTCAAATATGTATGTGTATGTCTACACATAGGCAAAGTTGTCTAGTCTGTGATTCAGTTTCCTGCAGCATTTACTATCCAATATGAAAACTCCCAGAGCAAAATTCCTGAACTTGTGTACTTGCTCCCGAGTGGTGCAGATGCCTGTGGACCAGGGCCTACACCTTTGGGAATCAGTAGATCTCTTTGTTACTCATTCTTTTTGATTTGGCTGACTAAACCATTCAACCTTTAGGGTAACTAGACTAAGTATCTCTGAAATCACAGAAAGCTGAGTCTCATCCCTAGAGTTTATGACTGGATAGGAACAAGGCAGTGCCTGAGAACTGCGTCTAACAATCATCCTTAGAGAACAACTATCAAATACAACAAAAGATGCACTTTTATTAAGCATGCCCATTTCCTTCCCATTAGAATGCAAAGTGAGGCAGAGACTTTTATTTTCTGCCATTTTCTCTTGAAAGAACATATCAGGCAGATGCTTAGTGAACACATGTTGAGTAAGTGAAGAATGCTTATCCTGTTACATCAGAAAACGTACCCAAAATTTATAGGAAGAAATATATATACAAAGTTAGAAAACATGATATAGTTCAGTTCCCCCATGCAAGAAAGCATTTTTTCAGCACTAAGCCACAAAGAGAATTTGGATTTCCTGATATTTGGAAAATAATTATTAGTAACTTACATTTTATTATTACAGCATTGAAATGAACAATAAAGGCATAGAATGCTACCATGTACTAAGTACCTCGCATGTGGGACCCCATTTGAGTCCCCCAGCAAACTCAAGTGGTATCTCTTCAACCTTAGAGAAAGAGCTCTGGGTTACCCTAGTGATTCCAAGGTTTTGACCTTTACCTCCACATGCTCTCCACCTGGATGTTAAACAAGAGGTGACAGCTTTAATGTGCAGGTGTGTCCAGGTTTGAATTAAAATTTGCTTAACTATATTTATGTCTTTAGGGAAGATCAGATATCCCAGTCACGTTTCAATTATGATGTTCTACAGAATCATACTAGAGCCCTGGTTTTCCAGAAGCAAATGCTGAGCTTGACGAATCTTATATCTCATTAAAGACAGGAGAATATTTTCCGGGAGATATGCTTTCTAGAGCTTCTTTGTGATGATGCACAATAGTTCAGTCAGTCTGAATATTCACTCTACCAAAACATGCATAGTAAGATCACATTTATGTGGAGAAAAATGGACTCAAATAATTACGAGTCAGTAACTCATTTTTTTTTATTAAAATAGGTATCAGTGAATTTTCTTCTTAAAGGGCTAGAGAGTAAACATTTAGACTTACAAGTTAGGTAACTCTGCAACTGTGGAGAGCAACCAAACAAAACATAGATGAATGGGGACGGTGCTGTTCAAATGAAACCCCACACAACAGGTAAAGAGTCTATGGGTCATGTGGCCTGCTGTGCCTTATGTTAAAGAATTCTAATTCAAATGGCATAAGCGAAGTGGATTAGACACATTTCAGGTAAATTTTTCAGTCACCTTAAATAAAAAAGTTTTTATAGAAATATCTGTACTCATATAACTAAATACAAGCATTTACTAAAAAAGACAATTCTACCATGCAAATCAAAACAGATGTTTGGCTCTGTAGTAAGTTCAACAACTTTAAAAGAATCTTTGTATTTATTTAGACATAACAAATGCAGGTGGTATAGTAAGTCCATAATCCCCTCTAAAACTTACGAAGTACCCGAGAATCTATCACATTCTTCCTCACTCCAGCCACACTCTATGATTCCAGAGGAGAACCTTGAAAAGCACCAAGTTTCTGGGCATTAGTATGAATTCCATTTTCATTTTCTGATATATGACTCAAACTACCTGTACTGTAAAAACCAATTTAGCATAAGCTTGGGTGGTAGCAGAAGCAGGCGGAGGCCAGCAGCCTTCAGTCCCTGGTGGTTCTGCCTTCTCACCTTCTATTTCCTTCTGTACCATTTTATTTTTTTCACACAGTTATGTCTAAACAGAACTAAACTTAATTTTGAACATAATCTCTCTTGGACTCATTTAATATTTTTGGACATTCATATCTGTTTTGTAAATCCTAAGGAAAACAAAGCCAGGATCTCCAATCCAGAATATTGTCACAATCTTTATTAAAGTTTAATTTAGACTATTATAGCAACTTAATATGATTTGTTAGTCCAAACATTACAGATTTAAAAAATCCCTTTAGTGAGGATAAATTAAGAAAGCGTACTCCAACATCATTTTCTACAGGTTCGCTTTCACTTTTGGAAGCACTTCTAGATCTAACATTGGCTCTACATGCTCAGAGATAACTAGGTCCACCAAAGGACAGTGAAAACTGGCTGTGCAGCTGATGGATGTTTCACTAGAAATCTGAAACACAGATGCCATTGTCTTACTCAGTGGAAATGAAGTCTTTCCGTAAAACCATGCTCCTGATGGGCGGTGGAGAGAGTAATGGACTGTTAGTTCTAGATGCCAAAAATACATGGGCTTGGTGCACAAAGGCCTCACTCTCTGCCTGTTGTGAGGAGCTTGAGAGCCTTCTGCAGGTTCTGTACAGCGGTGCTCACGTCTTCGTACTGCAGGGCACTGCCGGCATACTTGCAGTACTTCTGAGCTCTAGCAAAGTCCTCTGGAGTCAGACGGATATCCCCTACCAAGACAAAGAGCAAGATATTTAATACAGTACCAAAAGTTGTTCTGTTACAGGTATGTATTTACATCCAAGATGAAAGAAAATATTTAGTTATGTAAGAACATGCAGATTTTTTTCATACCTCAGGCATTTCAACAAATTTTCTGCATTCTTTAAAATTTGTTGTTACTTATATAAACCAAATGAATGCTAATACATAATAACTTATACGCAAGATTTTCCATGAATAAGTAATATACCAGAAGTCTTCATATTTTAGCAAATTAATTGGGAGAAAGAAAAACGCAGGTTGTGTGAAAGAAGAAAAGCAGCATAGTGTTTGTGCCTGCTGAGCCTCTCTTCATGGAACAGCACACACAGACTAAACCTCCAGCCCTCACTTGAGCTGGAATATAAAGAAAGCCCTCAGTAAAAACGTGGTTAACATGCTGTTTGCAAAACGCTGAGTATCACTATTTTAGCATTAAAATATTTTACATTTTCTCATTATTCACATGAAAAATAGTTACCCCCAAATTTTTATTGTTAAAATACACAATTAAACATAAACAGCTCTTACAAAGTATTTCTCCAAAATTTATTTCTAGTAAGTTTTCTAGTTATACACGAGAAATATTTAAGAGTTCAACTAAACAATTTGAGTAAAGTCATTTAATTTACTTATATGAATATGGATGCACTTGTATATATTCACATATAAGTATGTATAATGTACTTATACAATATGAATGTACTTGAATATATGTATTTCTAATGATATGGTAAAAAAATGGACACAGTATTTTGTCTTTTGAAATGAATACTATTGTTTTGTGAAAACCTTTGAGGATGGTAAAGAATATTTCCTGAATGGAAGGCTGAGGTATAGAAAATAATGCACGGATGCTATATTTTAATTGTTTGTAAGGCTGTACTGATATACACAATTATTTTTAAAATGGTTTAATATTTTGATAGCAATAACAGCTATGACAGTATCTAGTAAAAGAGGTAGCAACTCCAGGTCAGCTGATACTAAATTCCAACCAATATCACCATATTCTAAACAAGTACTGACATATTTTATGCATTTTACAATCTGCATCTTAGCACCAGGCACCTGATGGTCCCCAGCCCAGAAGCTGAAATCAGCACGAAAGGCTGCCTACACCTTCAGTGACTTCCCACATTTAAAATATAGTTCACACAGAACTAAACACTAATTTTCAGATTTTAAGTAATACACTTATAAATTTATAGATAGTAAATAATGTAGGGTGCCTTATGAAATAAGCCTTCAAGTAATCATTAAGTTATTAAACATTATATAAAAGTAATTAAACACTTTAATTTTAACAGAATCTTAATTTCTTTGAATTTTGCTCTTTAAAACAATACAAATTTCCAGGTGTAGGGATGCAGAATCTCTGTGAGTCCCAGACCAGCTGGGGCTATATAGAGACCCTGTCTCAAAAAACAAAACAAAACAAAAAACAAACAAAAAAGCAATACAGATCAACAAACTAGCAAAAATATGTATGAACTTTGCAAACACAGCTTTGCTGCCATTCTTCAGGTAGTTTAGTGAACTTGTATCCATTCTACCAATGAAACCTAAGAGCACTTGCCCTCAGGTATGTTGACAACTTTGCCAAGGGCACTTCAGTTTATATTTTTCCTGAAAAATATCTACCGTGTTCTTTAATGAGTTTTCAAAGTAACTGAAGTCCTGGTCACCTGGCTTGTGCTCTGACAGTCTTTTCTTCTTCTCTCACACACTTTGAACATACAAGGCATGTGTCCAACCTTTACCAGACTTGTTGGAAGAAAACCGATGCTCAGAACAACTTTATTTTATTTTATTTTTAATTATTTATTTAGTAACCACATACTTAGAAGAAGCATTCCTAAAAGTGGGTGAAAAAGTATAAGCTTCTGTTTGTGAGACAATGTCTTTCTGTATGGCTCAGACTAATCTGGGACTCACTAGTCAGCCCAGGCTATCCTCAAACTCAAGATACCTCTGCCTTAGTCTCCCAAGTTCTTGGATTATAAAATATGCCACCACAGCCAGCTTAATCTGCAGTGCCGTTCACATGGTACTGGATTTGGAGGCATGAAAGATGTAAGATGAAGGGGTTGTCAATTATTCCTCCACAGTTTCAGAGAGCCTTTGAGGTTAGGTAAAGTATGGCAGGGAAGTCCCTGGGAGAAGGTGGCCAGGACAGGGAGAAGGCCCTGGGAGGCCACTGTGTGAAGCTGTTAAGATGAAGTCTGGGTTGAGTAGAGACCCTAAGATGATGGAGATGCTAGAATCAAAGAACATCTGCCAATGAGAGTTATATACAGGAAGTGCAATCAGCACAAGAGAAGGATATTTGTTGCAGGCAGGAAAGTTGGAAGGGTAGGAGCAAGCCCTTTGGAACTAAAGTCTCAGATACCAGAAATGGAGCTACAGGACCTGGTGTCTGGCCTCATGATTTTCAGTCTTGTTTTGGTCCAGTATTTCCTCACTATTCCCATTCCTCCCTTTTGGAACAGGAATGCATATTCTGTGCTATCATATGTTGGAAGTATGTAATTTGTCTTTTTGATTTTAGAGAGGGCTAAGCACTATGGGAACTTTTAAAGTTGAACTAAATTAATTTTGCATTATGATATGACCATGAACCTACAAGGGCCAGGGAGTGGAATGTGGTGTTTTGAATGAGAATGTCCCCTAGAGGCTCAAATATTTGAATACTTGGTTCCTAACTGTGGTGCTGTTGGGGGAGGGTCATGGAACCTTTAGGAGGTGTGGCCTTGCTGGAGGAAGCATGTCACTAGAAATAAGCTTTGGGAGTTCATAGCCTTGTCCTACTTCCTGTGTGTATGTGAAAATGTGAGCTCTCAGCTTCCTGTTCCAGCCACCAAGCCTGCATGCTGCTATGCCTCCCTTACCATTATGGACTTTCCCTCCTGAACCATAAGCCAAATAATCTCTTCCTTCTATAAGCTGGTCTTGATGTTTTATCACAGCAACAAAAAAGTAACTAATACACTGGGTGAGTTATCTCTCTGTGCATAGTAAATTTTTCACTATGTTCTTGGGTAATTACCAGTTTATTACAAGTTCCTCATTTTTATTTTTAACCTTAACACTATCTTCCCCATGAAACACAAAAAATGCTCTAAATACCAGACCATTCAGGATTCAGATTTCACTGTATCTGCTAATTTTAGGCCTCATATCTATATAATTTACTTTTGACAAAACCAAGAAAAGTAGTAGAATAAATGGACAGTGACAAATACACTTAAATATATATGAATAATATACTACATTTAAATGTATAATAAGCTTGAAAACATGACTGCCTATAAACATAAATTGAGTGAACTGTATCACACTTAACTATGGATTTGTCTCTTCTAAGTACATATGTCTGATTAATCTTCCTTTTGCAACCATAATAAAATGGTGAAGCAATAGAAACGGAAATAAATCCATAAAATCAATCAAAAGATACAGCACAGGTCCCTAAAGCTGGAGAACAAACTTCCTGGACAGTGCTAAAATTGATACGGATGGTGTGGCACCCATCCTCATCCTACCTCTTCCTAGTCTCCCCTCATTCTGTGGCTGAGAGGCAGCTGGGCCCGCTGACCAGCTCTCATTCACATGAGAACTACTTGTGTGAAAACAGACATGCATTCACCATTTTAGAGAAGTACAAATAACAGCTTTTTAAAATAACCAATCATGATATCTAAGCCTAAAAAAAGAAAACAACGAACAAACAAAAACCCCAGCTAAGTTTCAAGAGCCCTCACACAGAGATGGTTACTTTATTCTTTGGGGAGAATGTGATGATGATGTAGTACAGACAAGGGAGATCATGATTACAGCAGTGATTCCGAAAGGAACCACAGTACTTTGGCCTAAATACGTGCTTCATCATATCCAGTGTGTACAAATGAGAAAAGAACAAAAAGAACTGCAATGAAAGGGAACACCTTCTAGGATTTGGGTGTCTCTGACTACATCATATAATCCTGGTTCACTTGACAATCTAGCAGAGACATTGAAAGAAATTTGTTTGAATTAGTTATTTAAATTCACATGGTACTCACATGGTAGTTACAAACAATAGCCCCCAAATAGTAGAGACAAGATATAGCCCAGAGAAAGCTAACTGACTCACCCTGGGAAACTGTGCTGAACAGTGCAGGATCCATGGCTGGAACAGTCTGTGGAGTAGGCTGGATGGCATTACTCGTTACACCTGTGAATCAAAACCACAAACAAGCAGAAAACACTTCATCTCCTAATTAAGTATTAGGAAAGAAGTTAAGGGTTGGGGAGTATTTCATTATTTCACTTCCTCATTTTCTTGAAAACTTAACTGATTCTAATGCATTAATTTGATGTGTTTTATATTAGAGACTGGAAGAGAAAATATGTAGGAAAATATGATATTTACCTTCACATCTAATGCTTCAAGTTACTTCTCAACTAAAGCTTACAAGTGTATTTAAAGGCAAGAGGATCCCTTCCTCTCTTTTAGTTTCTATCAGTTGAATCATTTTGTGGGCAAGGTGATAACTATGATTTAGTTTATGTTGGCAGAAGAATCCCATTTCATAACTTTATGTGAAATTGAACATTCCAAATTTTCCAGTTAATATTTTTAAGATGATAATTCTATTTTATGTCATTAATATTTTTATTGCTAGTATTAATGAAAAAAAATTTCCTGTTGGGTGTGGTGGCCTGTGCTTTTAATTCCAATACTCAGGAGGCAGAGGCAGGCACACCTTTGGGAGTTCTAGGCCAGGCAGAGCTGCATAGCAAGACATTGCCTCAATAAAAATAAAAATTAAGGCGAATTTTTAAAAGATTTCCTAAAGTTATTTCTGAAGCAGGAAGCATAGTTATGCACATGGCCTCTGGCAGCTGGGCACCAGTCCTGAGCAGCCACACACACAGATCCATAAAGATGCAGTACTGCTTCTGCAGTAAAGTCAGTTAAAAAATCCAAGGTCTCAGGGAATTCACGAATCACAACAGAAAGTAACTTTCATTAATTTCATGTATATGTAAACACCAAATTTTAGAGACTGTACAAAAATTAATATCCTATTTGTTAAAAGTTCCCTAAAACCTCCCACCATAAACATACAAAAGCCTTTTCTTCGATACAGCAAAACTGCATAAAATATTAGAATGTGGTCTAAAGCTTGAATCTTGCTCTTCACTGAAAATAATCTAGCGTCATTTTGGGGACAGACAACATAAAAATGATATATTATTTACCATGCCCTGGATCCTTTTCACTACTTCCATCAACATAGGAAACTAGATAACTACAGTAAAAACTGTAATGGGTTCACTTAAATGAAATTTGGAAAGCATTCATATTTCAGGATATAAAATACTATATAGCATTATTGTAACATTGCTTTAGAGCAGGTGGCCTGGAGGATAGAACACATAATTAATTACCACTACTTATACTTGAGGGAAGAAGACAAGCAACTAAGCAACTTTAGACATCCTTGAGGGAGACCCACATTAAAAAAATTTGTTATTTACTTAAAAAGTTTAAGGAGAGCATATCATTATTTAGCAATTACTTTCCTAGACATTTCTTTATGCCTTTTATGTGCATATAAAATTTAAATCAGCAATATTATATACTCAAATAATTTTATGTAAAATTCAGAATCAAATCACTATGGAATGCTGACCTTCAGGGAAGACTCAGTCTACCTACAGCACTAAGTAGAAACCATGTCTGGACACTCAAGTACCTCAGCTGGAATAACCTACCCTGTCTGTGTTCAAATCTAGCTTCCTACAAATGCTCTCTTACCTACATAAAACCTTGTTCCTTTGGAAACAATCCGGATAGATGAGATGGTAACCTTATCAACTCTAAATGTTAAATAGCTTTTTATTATCATGCAAGATGGTATTTCTTATAGGTACAGTGAGCAATTAGCTTTGATTTCCTACTGAAACTTGTCAAAGCTGTCATATTCAACGAATAACTCGCACTGATTAATGGCACTACACTAGAGGCGAACACTATCACTCATCTTAAAAAATGTACAGAAAATTTCCAAAGACTACAACGATTCAATGAGCAGAAAAGTAAAGAAAAGCTGACTACTCTAAGTCTATGAAACCAAACAGTCTCTCAAAGAAGGGTACACTTGCGTTAATTAATTAACTAAGGTGAACGAGGCTACACTGAAATGAGGAAACTCTATTTCCAGGAAGGGGCAAAGACTGGGGTGAGGAGGCAGGAAGAGAGACAAGACAGAAGATTGGGGTGGGGGCTTCTAGAGCCAAAGATACACACCCTGCCTTTTAGAATGATGCTTTCACAAAAGGCTGAGAGACAGGAGAAAACAATTTTCTAGGTAAGTAGGTTTGACTTTGAAAGATCTTCTCATCTCTCATCCAAAGGTGGAAAATGGCTTAAGTATGCTCTATTTTATGTCATTTAATTTTAAAGGACACCAGTTCCACTTTACAGACTTTGGTCCTGGCAATCATCACAAAATCTTACTTTTTATCCAAAAACTGAACAAAGAGAAATACAAAAGGATAGAGATGAAAAACCAAGGTGTATAATTTAAATTAAGTACTAACAAATAACTAAGTAAATAAAAGAGGTTAAAGCCTGCCTCTTACTCCTACTCTAAACCACTTTATGGTGGTAACCAGTTTTAAGGACTCCCCTCAGTACGTATAAGTGTGTGTCTAGGTTGATCTCTCCTCTCTGCTTTCTCTGTCTGTCTATCTCTCGCTCTGGTCTTTGGTAAAAAAATATATTCTTGCCAAACATCAAAATCCTATTATGGTGTATGTTTTGCAAATAGTAATTAGTTCTGCATACTATACTGCTTTCTATATTTTTTCCACTTTATATAGCACAGCAATAATTCCAGATGAATATGTAGAATCCTAACTAACTATTCTTTTTAATAGCCACATAATGTTCCGTTTTATGCATGGACCATGATTTATAAAGCAATCCAGGACTGATAACATTTAGACTGTTTCCGATTCTTGCTACTACATACTGTGCTGTAGAAGATGTTCTAACAACTGTATGGGTTGGAATATACTTTAGAAAGATGTACAACATTATCACTGCAAAGCCAGGAGACATACAAATTTATATTGAAAAATTCAGTGACTTTCTGCTTAATTTTGATGAGTTGCTAACAAAGTATAACATCTGACATATTTTTTTCCATAAAACTTGCCAAACATTTAAAGGTATCAAATTTAACATTGAAAAAAAAAAAAAAAAAAAAAAAAAAA